ATTTCAGCCGCCATCTAGGTCACATTAAGGAGTTGATCGGTTTTACGAACGCAAATGTAAGGAAATGTCTATGTGGTTATGGAATGGTCCAAACAAATCTTCTGCGCTGCTACGTTTGAACTCGGTATCCTCGAAAACCTTACACGCCTGTGTAAAATGATCTTCAGCGGCACTAAAAGCTCTGTCCGGTAAGGATCTTTCCAATTCGTTCTTTTATTTTTTTTATGGCTGGAGAAGTAACACGAGCTGCAGAGCTGAATAGAGAAGGTACAAGAGTTTACAGCTGCTGGCGTACGCCGTTGGTATTGACACCATTGGTCTCAACAAACGCGCTGAGAGTTCTGCTTTCCCCAGAGTCGATAAGGAAGCGAAGTGTATGAGTCTTGTATTAAACAAGGACACGACTGAATATCTCCCGTCAGCGAGCGAACTAGCTATAATCAAATAATCGGTGTCTACGAGGGTAAATAAAGAGAATAAGTTATATTTGAAATCTCTATAGAAGAGCCTACTCAACTCATCCAAAAACTCAAAAATTAGAGAAAGGCATGAATGAATGAGCGCTGGAAACGCAAGTTTAAATCTTTACAATTCGAGTTTGTCAATGCTGTATTTATGTATGTATGTATATTTTTGCATTTATTTTTATTTGTAGATATTTTTAATAAATTTAATTCAAATCTCTTTGGCTTTTTAATACATTTGATTTTGATACGTTAAATTTTGTCTATTTTTTTATGAAAAATATTTATTTATTTTTAACTTGAAAACAAAAAAAAATATTTCAAATAAATTTTTATCAGGCCACATGTTGCAAATTTTTTTATTAATATACATTTGTATTTACATATCATTCATATTTAAAATTTTAATAAATTTTATATTTTATTTTTCATATTTAAAATTGTAAAAATAAAAAAAAAATAGAAAAATTAAAGAACTGCAGTTTGTGTATATTTGGAGAGGAAACCAATTAACCAACCTTCTCTTAAGCATTTTGGTATTCTTTCTAAGTTCAACGCTAATTCCTCAAGTGTTTAAAATCCGCACTGCTGCATGAAATTGCCACGCGCTTGAAAATTGTCAATTTCCCCTAAGAAAAATTTTCAAAAGTCTTCAAAAGTTTTTCTTCCTTTTTTATTTTAGTTAATTGTTCCTCCTCTACAAGGACTTCCTTGTTGCAAAAAGCTGCCTCTTGTTCTGCTCGCTCGTTCTCTTCTAAGCTCGCGCAGGAAGGTTGAAATTTCTCAAAAAATAAAAAATTAATTTCCTTCGAAAAAACTTTTACAATTCACTCGTTTATATCAAGTCAAGCAAACACGCGCACACACGTACCGTACATACAGACGAGTATATACACGCACGTGGAATGTAAGATCGGCGCACATAAAAGATTTCGTGATTTGTTTGCCCGACGTTGTAAGCGAATTTAATTAATACAGGAAGTTTTCTGTTTCTTTTTCTCTTGTTGAATTGCTTAAAATTTATTTTTTTACTTTGTTTTAAGGCTCGTAAATTGAACGAAAAAAACGATTTGGTGTACAGATTAGATTTGCACAGATATACTTATTGTTTTTGAATAAGCAATATGAATGAAATTTTTTGCAAAGTTCCATGCCGCCCATGTACTTGGGCGCATTGCGTGTACAAGTATTTTGTTATCAAATAAAATTAATTATATCAAAATACAACAATTTAACTTAATTTAATCCATATTTCATCTGACGTTCATCAGACAGAGAGAGAGAAAGAGAGAGAGAGAGAGAGAGAGAGAGAGAGAGAGAGAGAGAGAGAAAGAGAGAAAGAAAGAGAGAGAGGTCTGCTGTGTTCTTTGAAAGACAAATTGGTTGCTATAGCGGAGATTTGAAGAAAAAAGGTGTGAAGACATTAGTGTCAACTTGACTCGAAACTAAGGATTATTTAAATGAATAATCAAATATTTGAAATTTTAAATCATATATGTACGTACTTCAAATATTGAATTTGAGATCCCACTATGTCTTTAAAAATCAGGAAGATCTAAATAATTGAGGGCAGAATTTGTCTGTGAAGCAAGTTCGTCTCTTCTTTTCTGCAGTTGCAGCAAAAAACACTAATTTTTCCTTCTATGAATATAAATAGAACCCGAGCTGCCAAATGGAGGGAAGCCGCCAACAGATGAACACTCCAAAATATCACCTTTCACCAAGCTGAAAATATTGAAGTTTTAACGAAACTAAAACGTAATCGGGCTGCTCTTCTGCTGCAGCGGTTCGCCAATAAATCTTCGATTTACCGTCCGTCCTCAGCCAGAATTGTTCGGTAATTTGACGACTCTGAGCTTCCTAAAAAAACCTAATACTAAGGGAAGTTGAGGCTTCGATTCCTGGTCCAAAAATCAAAAATTAAAGAGAATTATTTTTTTTTAAATGCGGTCGTTCTCGGCAAGGAATGTCAAGTCCTCCGAGTTTATTTCCGACTTAAAATAAAAACTTCTCATAAAAATCTAAGTCGATCGATCGATCGAGAGGCGGCTTGGTATAAATTGTAGGTCCACACATTTGTTGTGAAAACGTCAAGACGCTCACCATAAACTGGAGATGGAGTACCGCGGAAAATCGCTGAAAAAAAGTATATCAATGTAAATTTACCGTAGTTAGTTAGATAGTTCCACAGTCTGCTTGATCACGGTCCCTTATCAAGCTCATTTGGGCTTATTTGGCCTATTCTGATACCTATATTGGTCCTGCTAAGGAGTTTTCTTTCACCTTTCCGAATGCTCAAGCAACTTGATGTGTTTTGCGAAATTCAAGAAATCAATGACGCAAGCCGATCGTAGAAAGAATTTCCGAGAAAACGATTTTGGACCGCACTGAAAGCAGGGCAGTGACAGAGGTGGTGTTCCGCTGATTCCTCCTCATCTATATCCAGGCAGCTGCTGCCGAATTCAATTCAGAAGCAGCATATCTTCCTACCATTAGTCCTCATACCACAGTATCCGGTTATTACGCTTCTGGAGATCCGGTTTAGAAAGAGTAATCTTGTTGCATTGCACTGGGTTTCACGCCACCATCTGCTGTTGGTCCTTCTGATGAAGGCTAGCCTTAACAGATACCTTGCCGAGGAAAGCGGTATGCCAACGTAATGTACAGAGTTTTCCGTGATTAAGCAAAGAAAGGCTCGTTTAGAAATCACGTAGGTTGGCCAAGTTGAATAATTTAAAAAAAACTGACTTATACACTGGAAATGCCAAGTAAGGCTACATAAAGAGATCCCAGAAGGACTGTAATATAACCACGTGGTTTATGTACACTTCCATACTAGCACCGCTTCATTCTTCCTGGGAAGATTATAGTAAGACTAACAAAGGAACTAAGCCTTCCTGTAAGCTTCCAGTCAGAAAATGCTTTAGTAATTCGAATAGCAATAAGATGTGAAGATCTTCGAAGCCAATAATGCCTCTTACGCCAGAAAGAAAAACCATTAAGTGGAATATAAAACCTCGGAAGGCAATGCTAAGCTTTCTAAAAGTATTTCTGACATGAAATAAAAAGCTCCTAATAAAAATTCATCGCCCGTTTGGAGGTGGCTTAGAATAAATTGCAAGACCCTTAGTTTTTTTGGAAAACATCAATCTCATTGGAATCCGAATCTGAGACCAAGATCGCTTAAGTGGTTAGAAAGCACTATTTATATATATGTATAACTGGTCTTACAGAAGCCGCATCACCAAGTGGTAGGTTTTTTCATCTCTTAATGAGAGCAATTTTCTTTCGAAATACTCTGCAGTAATATAATAACATAAACCTTGTGTTAGCTAAAAGTTTCTCATAAATATAAGAATTCAGCGACGATCACTCATCGTTCACTACATTCCGCTGATCTTTTCTCCTCACCAGCCAATGAAGTCTGGATAGCAGGGAGTAAGTTGTAGTTGAAGGTAGTTCACTGCTTTGGAGCCAAATTAGATTTAGACAATGTGGGCTTCCAACTATCCTAAGACTGATTGCGATCCTTGCAGTGGGAATGCATCACAGAAATGAAGGCAAAAACTCGACAGCGCACGAGGGAAAGTGATCGGCTGTGGGAAGATTACTTCAAAACGATTAAACATTTTTTTTGAATGGAAAATCTTAAGGTTTTTAAGATGAGCTCCATGATTTCTAAGAAATTGACTCAAAGTCTTGAGTCCACATGCTCAGAGCTTGCGTTAGAAACTAATAAATTGCATTCATACATACATTCGCTGTGAAATGACTCTGATAATGAAGCATTTAGGAATTTCTGAGATTTTTTTAATGTAAATTACAAAAAGTATTAAAAAAAAAATCGAACAACAAATCATCAAAAACATTGTTTGAAGCACACGCACACACGCACACACACGCAAGCGTGCAACCGCAGACATTCCCTTCCAACGAAATGCCAACATGTGTATCCCAGACGATCGAACTGGAGTGTTGAATGCCCTTGAAAAAATTTGCGCGTGCAATTCGGTGTGCGGATTCGAAAAGTTTTGGGTTTAATTGCGGCTTAAGGCATGAACAGAAATGTACAACTATACATACGTGTATATGTGTATGTGTAGGTATGTGTTGCTTTTACTTTAACTGAATCTGACTTCATTTCGACTACGCACAAGCTTTTAAAGCACATTTCTGTTATTGTCTTTCGATCGACAAAAAAAAACAAAAAAAAAGAGATGTAGGAAAAACAAAGATAGCAAGAGAAGAGCAGGAAGACAATAAACACTACAAGTGTACATACCGAATAATATAGATATATGTATGTGTAAATATACATGAATATATATATTATATACATAAATGTACGTTTATCTGCTTTCTAATGTATTTCTCATTCACACATTCTTACTCACACATACATATAGAGACATATACATATGTAAGCCTCAATGTGATCATTTTGCCGAGTCTGTAAAAATTCCATAACCCAAAATTGATATCAAGGAGTCTTTTACAAATATCAACTGCAACAACAACAACAACAATAATAATAATAATTGTTGCGGTTCGCTGCCTGTTTACTTTAAGCGCACATACATATACATATAAATATTGTCTACAGTACATATTAAGTTTAGCTATAAGAGAAAAAGTCTCCACTCTCTATTATTTGTAATCGCTTGTTAGACTTCTGAGCTCCCTACATTGTAAATTAGATACATACATATGATCGAACTGTTATTCGCTAATTCGTAAGCACACTTAAATGCAGTTGCTATTTTATGTACATACATATTTAACTCGTCCTTTGTTAGTGTATTTTGTTTGGTCATTTGTTAGGAAATCGCGTTACATCTGTTCACTTCACTTTCCTGGCTGCCCAATTTGTACGGTAAATACAATTTGCGTACAAGTGTATAAAAACAGATGTATACACAAAACTTTACGTTTAGTTGCCGATCAGCGAAGGAAGTGGAAGATGTACTGCGGTAAGTCTATGTTCAAGTTTATGATGTACTTTATTTAAGATGTAAATTTCTTTTAGAAATAAACGGAACCTTTTAAAATACAACTTATTTGGTTCTTGTTAAATTCGCTCCACCGGATCGGTAACATCTTTATTTCGCAGTACTAATTCGTTTTGGTACTGAAATATTTTTAGCCATTGCCGATTATAATTTGGTTGCCATTTGCCGTTCACAGTTTACATGGGCAAATCACCTCGCCGTAGCCCTCGATTAAATAGTGACACAATGGACGTTAATAATCCAGCATCGACTCCCGCCACGTCGAATACCGCAGTTAAGAAATCTACTTCACAAAATGATACCGTCACTGCCACCATTGTCGCAGGCACAGCCAGTGCCCCTTCAGTTGCTCCTACCTCTACTGGAACAGTTAGCCGTAACTCTTCCACGCCATCCACGCCAGGAGCATCAACGCCTATTTCACGTCAGGAAGCCATAATGCAAGCCATGCAAAAGCGTATTGCCATGTTGGAGAATAGCCTGAAAGCAGCTGAAGTGAAGCTAAAGGAACATGAGTCCCACATTGAGACTGTCAATGCTTCTGGCAGTGCTTATATCGCCGGGATGTCAGCTCCTCAATTACCTCAAATACAACAAGTTGTACCGCTCCCAGATTTACAGTTGCCGCCAAATACCGGTACAAACTCACAGCCGTTAGCCTCTCTAACAGATAGCCGCCAATTACCAATATCTTTTGCAACGACCACACAGAACATGTACACAAATTCTGACATTCATCAGAGTGACAATCTATCAGTGAATTCCAATATTCCCATTAATGCCAACATGGGCTCTGTAGCCACACACTCGTCCTACTTACCTAGACAAATGCAAGCCTTGCCGGATTTCTGTGGGAAAGCAGAAGATTGGCCGATGTTTTACACTGCTTTCACAGAATCCACCGCAGTCTATGGGTATAGTAATTTTGAAAACAATCAACGGCTACACAAGTGTTTGAAAGGTGAAGCTCGCGAAACTGTGAAGTCTTTGCTTATACACCCAAGCAACGTCAATAATATTATCGAACAACTGAAATTTAAATTTGGTCGCCCTGAACAGTTGATTCGTTGCCAGCTAGCTCAAGTAAAGGAGATTGCACCTATTACAGAGAGTGGTGTCTTGAAATTAGTGTCATTTGCTACAAAGGTTAATAATATATGCATTTTCTTACAGTCAGCTAACGGAGGAGATCAACATATCGCCAACCCTACACTACTCGATGATCTCGTCATGAAATTGCCGATGAGTAAACGAATTGAATGGGCTACTTATGCAGCATCCATACGGCCGTATGCTACAATAGTACAGTTTAGTCAATGGCTCACGAGATTAGCCAATGTTATCTCCTCAGTTAATGATGTCGAATTAATACGCGATCCCAAACGCCGTGTCGTGTTGCATGCCGCCGAGTCACAACGTCGGCAGAGCTGCCCCATATGCTGTGGCCCTCATAAGACAGCGGAGTGCAATAAATTTATTGAATTCACAGTGCCGAGAAGATGGACCGAGACGAAGAATCTTCGCCTATGTTTCTCATGTCTCAATGCTGGCCATGGAACTCGCACTTGCCAACGTCGGAAGCCATGTTCTACCGAAGGATGCAGAAGAATACACCATAAGTTGCTCCATGAAATAGCACCGCTTTCCACAGTTACTCAACGGTCATCACAAGAGGAAAGGCAGAGTGGAGAGGAATCAGTTCTTAGCTGTAGTACCGGCTTTAACAATAAAAAGCTGTTATTTAGAATTTTGCCAGTCGTGTTATATGCAAACCATAAGCGCGTTGAAACGTATGCGTTGTTAGATGAAGGCTCATCGATTACAATGGTCGACAATGCTCTTCTACAGGATTTGGATTTACGTGGTCGTGAACAAAGTTTAAGGTTGCAATGGTTTGGAGGTCGAGCTGCGCAAGAACCAGCCGTGGTAGTAGACATGTTTATTAGCGGTGCCAATATGCAAAAACGCCACAAATTGAGGAACGTATATGGAGTATCGAATTTACAGTTGCCGTCGCAAAGTTTAAGTAGAGCTGAGTTGAGTTGTGGTGATGCATATTTACGAAAGCTGCCAGTACAAACATACTCGCATATCCGGCCTAGGTTGTTGATTGGTCTGGACCATGCCCATCTCGGTTTACCATCGTTTACAATGAAGATGAACAGAAACGGCCCGTTCGCAGCCAATACCGCGCTTGGATGGGTGGTTTTCGGTCCCACAATCAACGAACAGCAGTCTTCGCAGTTATGTTTGCTAATGAATAACAAGAGGGACAATTCTTTACATAAGTTGGTGGCGGACTATTTCGACACCGAAAGTTTCGGAGTCAGGTCATCACCTCCAATTGAAAGCAACGTTGACGTTCTTGCGAGAACAATTCTGGAGAAAACTTCACGCTGCATTAATGGAAGATTTCAGATAGGCCTTCTTTGGAAGCACGAAAATGTTAAGCTTCCGAATAGTTATTGCATGGCGTTGAGAAGGCTGAAGAGTATAGAAAACAAGATGCTTCGAAATGTTGAGTTTGCTGCCGAATACAAACGCATCATAGAGTACTATATAGCCAAGGGTTATGCCCGGAAGTTATCAGCAACAAAAGCTGACTTGAGTTCACCGAGAACGTGGTACCTACCACACTTTGCCGTATCTAACCCTACGGGTAAACTACGTTTGGTTTTTGATGCTGCTGCTGAAGTCCAAGGTGTCTCGTTAAAGAACGCATTCGGGCACATCCCAAGCGCTTACAGTGCCAAGCAGGCCGCTTTACCATTTCACGATCATGTTATCGGTTTGTACAAAGCGACTCAAAGAATATGCAGTCTGATGGATAAAGTGATACCTGCATCGTCACGAGAAAATGTGCATGTGTATTTAAATGATCTGTTAGTGTGTTCTGTTGATTTCCCGTCGCATGTTTGTTTATTGTAGAAGGTCGCTCGATGTTTACGTTGTGTAAGACTGACAATTAACGAAGAAAAAAGCAAGTTTTTCTACAGAGAAGTCTGTTATCTTGGCTATGTAGTAGGAGATGGTTGCATTCGCACGGATGAAAACAAGGTTATTGCAGTTAGGGTTTTCCCGGAGCCTCAAACTCCAAAACAATTGCGACGATTCTTAGGCAGGTCAGGTATATATAAAAGACAATCAGAAAAACTGGGACAAGTATATTAGTGACGCGGCGTTTGCATTACGAAACGCAGTGCATTCATCAATCGGCTGCATCCCATATTTAGCAACTTTGCGAAATTAGCGCCGAAACAAGTAAAGTGTATATTTGATGACAGACTCAAAGTGTTATAGACTTATTGCTAAATGTATAGTAAGTCGTGCGTCGAGGACACAAGTATGCATGAGGTGAGAGCAAAGAAGCACGCACTCGCTCCACATTGCAGGCAACATCGGCGTACGCGAGCTTGTAACGACAGCCCATTGTAGGCAGACCTAAATAACGAGTGCACTCCAATACTATTACCCTTTTTACTACTCATTAAGCCAGTCCCATTTCCCGGGGATAAATAGCGTATTCCTGTTAAAAGAAGCAAAAATACACGCATGCACCGAATTTCAAGTAAATCGAATCCTAAAGTAGATTTTTTACAAATAGGTCATCGGTTCACCATCTACTGTTAAATAAAGCAAAAAGCCACCTACGTACTGAACTGCAATTTCTTCCAAAAATAAGCTTTTTATTATGAGTCAGTCCCTGGCCCACTTTCCGGAAAAAAGTGAGCATTTTCCTTTTAACTTAAGCAAACAGACGTCTGTGTACCTAATTTCAAGTAAATCGAAAAATAAAAAAAACTTTTCGAATAAATCTACTTCCCGGAGAGAAGAATCGAACCATAAATTTGATTTTATCCACTGGTTAACTTCTCGGCGATAAGAAGAGTCCTTCTGTTAAACCAAGCAAAAAGCCACTTAAGGACCAGGTATCAACTAAATCCAGCCATAAATAAACTTGTTTTGAAAAAGCAAGTCCCAAGTCGCTGGTCCACTTACCGAAGCGAAGAGTGGTCTTCTTGTTAAGCAAAGCAAAAATACAGCTTTGTACCGGAATTCAAGGAATTCGATCCAGAAATAAATTCAAAATAGATCAGCCCCTGGTCCGTTTTCTGGAGGGAGGAAAATGCCGACTTTTTAAATAGGCCAGTCACTGGTCCACTTTGCAGGAGAAGAGTAGTCTTTCTGTAAATCTAAGCAAATGGCCAATTTCAAGTAATCCGAACCATAAAAAAACTAAGCAAAAAGACCCCTATGTACCGAATTTCACGCAAACCGAATAAAACACTGATTTTTTTAATGAACCCTGGTTCAGTTTCCGGAAAGAAGTGTAGTCTTTCTATTATCTTAATCAAAAACACACTTGCCAATACAAGTAAATCGAACCATAAATGAGATTTCTTCGAATAGGTCAGTCCATGGTCCACCGTCCGGGGAGAAGTGTGGTCTTCCTGTTAATCTAAGGAAAAAGCCACTTATGTACCAAATCTTAAGTAAATCAAGCCACAAACAAACTTTTTTNCACAAACAAACTTTTTTAAATAAATCAGTCACGGCCTCACTTCCCGTCGAGAAGAGTAGTCTTCCTGTTACTCGAAGGAAATATGGCACTTATGTAAGAAATCTGAAGTAAATCAAGCAATAAATAAACTTTTTTGAATAATTCGATCCTTGGTCCATTTCCCGGCGGGAAGAAGAGTCTTACTGTTTATCTAAGCAAAAAGACACCTATGTTCCGAATTTCAAGTAAAGCGGATAATAAATAAGTTTGTTTGAATAGGTCAGTCCAAGGTTTACTCCACCAAAATTTTTTTCGTAAACCCCTTCTCAAGTATCATAGAAGCACTCTACCGAAATTTCAATTTAATCGACCTTTAATTGTTGGAAAACACCTGTTGCGGTTCGCTGCCTGTTTACTTTAAGCGCACATACATGTGCACATACATATACATATAAATAATGTCTACAGTACATATTAAGTTTAGCTATAAGAGAAAAAGTCTCCACTCTCTATTATTTGTAATCGCTTGTTAGACTTCTGAGCTCCCTACATTG